GGGCCCAGATGGAGGATGTGTATGATCCCAGGGATAAATCCAATTGGAGTATGTCAGAACCCGTGGAAGGGCCTGGATGAAATATGTAGGATCTCAGGGAAGGGTTATGTTCGATTCTTAAGAGGATCTAGATGGAGTATGTATGTTCCCAGGGAGGGATCCAGATGGGGTATGTGAAATGTCAAGGAAGGATCCGGATGGAGTATGTAGGATCCTATGGAAGGGTCCAGATAGGGTATGTATAATCCCAAGAAAGCGTCCATATGGGGTATGTCAGATCCCAGGGATAGATCCAATTGGAGTACGTCAGATCCCAGGTAAGGGTCCGGATGGAGTATGTGAAATTCCAGGGTTAGATCCAATTGGAGTATGTCAGATCCTTGGGAAGGGCCCGGATGGAGGATGTATAATCCCAGGGATAGATCCAATTGAAGTATGTCAGATATAGGGTATGTGTCAGCCTAAGGAAGAATCTGCATGGGGTTTGTCACATCCTAGGGAAAGATCTGGATGGAGTTTGTACAATCCCTGCGAAAGGTCCAGATGAAGAATAGATAGGGTATGCCAGATGCCTGTGAAGGATCCAGATGGAGTATGTCAGATCCTTAGGAAGGGTTCATATGGGGTCTGTCTAATCCCAGAGAAGTGTCCAATTGGAGTATGAACAATCCCAGGGAAGGATCCAGTTGGAGTTTGTCTGATCCCAGGGAAAGGTCCGGATGGAGTCTGTCTGCTCTCAGTGAAGGATCCAGTTGGAGTCTGTCTGCTCCCAGGGAAGGATCCAGTTGGAGTCTGTCTGTTCCCAGGGAAGGTCCGGATGGAGTCTGTCTGCTCCCAGGGAAGGATCCAGTTGGAGTCTGTCTGCTCCCAGGGAAGGATCCAGTTGGTGTTTGTCTGCTCCCAGGGAAGGATCCAGTTGGAGTTTGTCTGCTCCCAGGGAAGGATCCAGTTGGAGTCTGTTTGCTCCCAGGGAAGGTCCGGATGGAGTGTGTCGCCCTCCTGGCACAGGATCCCCTCTCCCCACCCCTCTTTCTATTTACTAAACTTTCCCCAAAGTTGTGCAAACAAAGGCGGGAGCCAGCCGGGTGTCCAGGAGGGCCGCTCGGGGGCCGGGGGCACTGCCAGGGATCCCCTCCCCCACCTCTTCAGGGGCTCATGGCTGCCCGAACACTTCCTCTGCCACCCGGGGAAGTGCTGAGTGCCCGGACCGGGCGGGGGGGAGGGGAGGAGGATCTCTGGGAGGATACAATGTAACCGCCGACCGCTGGACCGTCCGATCTACTCAGAGCCGCTAGAGGGCGCCGGAGGAGCGACTCCACCCCGAGGACTCGGCGCTGCTGCTGGGGGCACCGGGATCGGCACGGGGGACCCCGATATATACACCGCCTGGGGACCCCAATATATACACCGCCTGGGGACCCCAATATATACACCGCCTGGGGACCCCAATATATACACCGCCTGGGCCCCCAATATATACACCGCCACATGGGGACCCCAATATATACACCGCCTGAGGACCCCCCAATATATACACCGCCTGGGGACCCCAATATATACACCGCCTGAGGACCCCAATATATACACCGCCTGGGGACCCCAATATATACACCGCCACATGGGGACCCCAATATATACACCGCCACATGGGGACCCCAATATATACACCGCCTGAGGACCCCAATATATACACCGCCTGGGGACCCCAATATATACACCGCCTGAGGACCCCAATATATACACCGCCTGGGGACCCCAATATATACACCGCCTGGGCCCCCAATATATACACCGCCACATGGGGGGACCCCGATATATATACACCGCCTGGGGACCCCAATATATACACCGCCTGGGGACCCCAATATATACACCGCCTGGGCCCCCAATATATACACCGGCTGAGGACCCCAATATATACACCGCCTGGGCCCCCAATATATACACCGCCACATGGGGGGACCCCAATATATACACCGCCTGGGGACCACAATATATACACCGCCTGGGCCCCCAATATATATACCGGCTGAGGACCCCAATATATACACCGCCTGGGGGCCCCAATATATACACCGCCTGGGGACCCCAATATATACACCGCCACATGGGGACCCCAATATATACACCGCCTGAGGACCACAATATATACACAGCCACATGGGGGACCCCAATATATACACCGCCACATGGGGACCCCGATATATACACCGCCTGGGGACCCCAATATATACACCGCCACATGGGGACCCCAATATATACACTGCCACATGGGGACCCCAATATATACACCGCCACATGGGGGCCCCAATATATACACCGCCTGGTGACCCCAATATATACACCACCACATTGGGGACAACAATATATACACTGCCTGAGGACCCCAATATATACAACGCCTGGTTACCCCAATGTATACACTGCAACATAAGGGACCCCAACATATACACCGCCTGGGGACCCCAACATATACACCGCCACATGGGGGACCCCAATATATACACTGCCTGGGGACCCCAATATATACACTGCAACATGGGGGACCCCAATATATACACCGCCACATGAGGGACCCCAATATATACATTGCCGAGGGACCCCAATATATACACCGCCATGTAGGGACCCCAATATATACACCGCAACTTGGGGGATCCCAATATAGAAACCGCCACATGGGGGACCTCAACATATACACTGTCTGGGAACCCCAATATATAAACCGCCACATGGGGACCCCAATATATAGACCGCCTGAGGACCCTATTATATACACCGCCTGGGGACCCCAATGTATACACCACCACATGGGGACCCCAATATGTACACCACCAGGGGGACCCAAATGTATACACCACCACATGGGTGATCCCAATATATACTTCACCACCTAGGGACCCCAATATATACACCACCTGGGGATCCCAATATATACACTGCCTGGGGGATCCCAATTTATACACTGCCTGGGGGATCCCAATTTATACACTGCCTGGGGGACCCCAATATATGCACCACCATATGGGGACCCCAATATATACTCCACCACCTAGGGACTACAATATGTATACCACATGGGGAGCCCAATATATACTCCACCTAGGTGACCCCAATATATACTCCACTGGGGAACCCCAATATATACATCACATGGGGAGCCCAATATATATTCCACCACCTGGTGACCCCAATATATACACCACATGGGGAGCCCAATATATACTCCACTTAGGGGACCCCAATATATACTCCACCACCTGGGGACCCCAATATATACACCATAACATGGGGGACTCCAATATATAACTCCTGGGACATTGGTCAGGTAAGTAGCAGAGGGGGTTGTTAATCAGTTTCAGCTGCTTTGGTGGTAATGAAATTAAAAACACGGGCACTAGATGGGCAACAATGAGACGACCCCCAAAACAGGAATGGCTTTACAAGTGGAGGCCACTGACATTTTCTCCCTATTCATCTTTTCTGACTGTTTTTCACTCGTTTGGCATTTGGCTAGGGTCAGTGACACTACTGGTAGCATGAGGCCATACCTGGACCATACAGAGGTTGCAAAAGCAGTCCAACCCCTCCAGGATGGCACATCAATACCTGCCATTGCCAGAAGGTTTGCTGTGTCTCCCAGCACAGTCTCAAGAGCATGGAGGAGATTCCAGGAGACAAGAGCATGCAGGAGATTCCAGGAGACAAGAGCATGGTGGAGATTCCAAGAGCATGGAGGAGATTCCAGGAAACAAGAGCATGGAGGAGATTCCAGGAAACAAGAGCATGGAGGAGATTCCAGGAGAAGAGAGCATGGAGGAGATTCCAGGAGACAAGAGCATGGAGGAGATTCCAGGAGACAGGCAGTTCCTCTAGGAGGGCTGGACAGGGCCGTAGAAGGTCCTTAACCCATCAGCAGGACCGGTATCTGCTCCTTTGTGCAAGGAGGAACAGGATGAGCTCTGCCAGAGCCCTACAAAATGACCTCCAGCAGGCCACTGGTGTGAATGTCTCTGACCAATCAATCAGAAACAGACTTCATGAGGTTGGCCTGAGGGCCAGATGTCCTCTAGTGGGCTCTGTGCTCACTGCCCGGCACCATAGAGCTGGATTGGCATTGGCCATTGAACCCCAGAATTGGCCAGTCCACCACTGGCGCCCTGTGCTTTTCACAGATGAGAGCAGGTTCACCCTGAGCACATATGATAGACGTGAAAGGGTCTGGAGAAGCCGTGGAGAACGTTCTGCTGCCTGTAACATGGTTCAGCATGACCGTTTTGGTGATGGGTCAGTGATGGTCTGGGAAGGCATCTCCATGGAGGGACGCACAGACCTCTACAGGCTAGACCAGTGATCTCCAAACTGTGGCCCAGGGGCCAGATGCTGCCCTTTGCATGCTTTTGTCTGGCCCTTGGGGCACTATTTCATCCACTGATAGCAACAATGAGGCATAATCCCCCCACCGATACCAATAAAGGGGCACGATTCCTCCCAATGACACCCAACGATGGGGCCCAAAGATATCAATAATGAGGCACAATTCCTCCCAATGAGATCAATGATTGGGCATTGTTTTTTTCAGCTGACCTCGGGACCTTTTCTATTCCCAGTGACCACAGTCCGGCCCACCTAAAGGCTTTCTGCAGTACATGACTCCACCTATTACTCCACCCATAACTGTTTGCAATATATGACTCCACAGCCTCCACCCATACTAATATTTCTCAGCCATCTGCAGACCATAGCGCCCTCTACTGGTTCATCCTGACTGAACCGGTGTCTGCAATACAAAGTCCTGATCAAACTACACACCACCACCCGCATACTAACATCTTCTGCCCTGGCCCCAGGGGCGGACTGACAACTCATGGGGCCCCCAGGCAATAGGGGATCATGGGGCCCCAGTGTCCTTGGCCAAACTCAAAAAAGCCTATGAAAAAAGTACCAGGGGCATCTCATGAGGCCCCCTACTGACCCCTGGCCCTCAGGCAGTGTCCAAGTTTCCAAATGGTCAGTAAGTCCCTGACTGGCCCCACCCTGAAGAGAATAGTGCTGGCCTGGAAGGACTGTCCCTGGAAATGTCTCTAGTTCCCTGCCTTAGCCATTCCATACAGCAATTCAAAATCCAAAAATACAATTTTTGAGTTCTACTTTAAAATGCTACTCTGGACAAAACGTTTTTGGGGGGGGGTTTCATTCCCACTTTTTGTTAGGCCATAAAAATGGATTTTTGTGCTCATCATAAAATCCTTTTCTCCAATTAATTGGCTGACAAAGATCCCACCCTGCATGCCCACCAACAACACGCTTTGTATTCCTAAACTTGTCCTGAACATGCAGTATATGGCCTCTAGATGACGCTGTGTCCTTTGCTTTGCCTAGTGTCCAACCTCGCACAGGGGAGACCTATACTCACCACAACTAAGCAGTAGGAAGCAGTGAGCGAACCTGACTTGTTCCTTAAAAAACTGCAAGAGCAACAGATCTGATAATGAGTAGAAATCCCTGTTTCTCCCATTGAGGGCACCATCTTCTGCACATGGACCACCAATGTTAGCCCAAAAAAGTCAGGCAGGCAAACACAAACCATGGGTAACCCTCAAAGAACATGGTGTCCCTGAATCACTCCATTGCCTGTAGGACCTCGAGGGCAAGAACAGAGCCAGATCTGCAACATGCACACAGTAGGACCCAGTGATAGCATTGACAGAGGACCAGCAACCTGCAAAAACGATGCCTGATACCTAAAACCAAGGATGCGCTCACCACTGTTCCTCAAAAACATACGCCTGATCTGGTAACTCCAGTGGAAGATGGTTGAGCTGGACTCCCAAGATCCCTTGAGTGACAAACAGGCAGTCCGTCTTTCAAAAGGCAGTAGAGGAGGACTAAGAATCTTTGACCTGGAAGATCCAACCACAATCAAGAGCATTCCAACTACAACCAAGTGACCCTTTCATGGTAGCACAGATTTCTGTAGACTAAAGAAAGTGTTCCGTGCAAAGCGTGTCAGGGTGTGTGTTGGGTGGGTATGTTTAAAGTTGGAGGTTCTAAAGGGCATGGTTTATCATGTCACACCTTCACATCTTTCAACATCAGCTTCCTTTAGGGCCCTCAGCATTTGTTCACAATTCACATGATGCCTCAGAGTCACCAATACATCAGTGGTGGGAGACAAATAGGGAGCATGTAGCTAAATAATACTCTGTCCAGCATGTGCCACTGATTTTGGGTCCCCTTCTGTTGAAATATCTCCACTCAGGACCACCAAACTATTGTTAGTAATAGCCCAACAAGCAAATTTCCCCCCTCTGTCCTTCAGCTCATCCCTATCCTGAGTAGGTAAGCTCTAACAACCCTAACCAGATCTAAAGGATGGAGATCATCTTCCAAGGATGTAAGGGAAACAGAGAAAATGATAGTTTGAATGGTAAAAGGACATGACCCGAGGGAAAAAGGATGACCGAGGTCCTAAGACAACCTTGTCCTTTTGAAAAATCTGAAAAGAGGACTTAAAGGACCAGGAAGCCCATGCTTAATCTCCCAGGCTGAGGTGATGGCAAGGAAGAAGGCCATCTTCGGAGGCAAGGTCACAAGAGGGGCAATGTATAGACGTTTAAAGGGGTAATCCGGAAGCACTGAATGCACCAGATTAAGATCCAGGGAAACAACAACGGTAGTAGTAAAAATGTGGGTGACACCTTGGACAAGGTTGCTAACTTGGCAATAAGAAGCCAAGGATTGTTGGAACAGGATTGGCCTTTGATGGTACTCAGAGCTTGATGCTAGTCCTACTGGAGAAAAATTGAGAATCCAACAACCAAAAGAGGCCTAGGGTTAAGAATGAGAACATCACACCACATGAAAAAGGCTTTCCAGGTACAGTGAGGAATTCATAGAAAAGAAGCCCATAGCATGCTTGAAACAACCATCTCTGGGAAACCATGCTCTACTAGAACTTTGACTTCCCTAGCCATGCTGTTAAAGTAGGATGGGAAATCAATCCCAGGGACAGAAGATCTGGATGAGCAGAAAGAGGTCACAGATCACCAGGCTCTCCTTGTTTAGTCCAAAGCTATTAGAATGGTGGGAACTCTTTCAGATCCGGTTCTCAGTAGAAGGCAAGGAAGAAAATTTTGTGACACAATGATGTCAATGGAGCAACTGTATCATCTGCTATGTCTGCCAATGGGCTGTTGTTCTGGAAATGAACTTAGGATCTCTTCAGTTGTGAAGAGATGCAAACAGGTCCACATCTGGTGCTCCCTTACATCAATAAATCTGAAAAACAAACCTGATGGAGAGACCATCATGTGACCATGGAAAGTATGGGAAAAAGACAAGCCGGTGGAGACAGTATGGTGCTTTGGGCAATGTTCTGCTGGAAAACCTTGGGTCCTTCCATTCATGTGGTTTTTACGTGAGATGTACCATCTACCTAAACAGTGTTGGCCAAGTACACCCTTTCGTGGAAATGGTATTCCCTGATGGCAGTGGCCTCTTTCACCAAGACAATGTGCCCTGCCTCACTGCAAAACTGGTTCAAGAATGATTTGAGGAACAAAACAATGAGTTCAAGGTGTTGACTTCACCACCAAATTGGATCTGCAGCATACGATGGATCTCCCTGTCTAGGGAGAGAGACGGATCTGTCCTGTTTGGATAGTTGTGCTTCCCCAGTGAGGAAATGAGCAAAGGTGACTGCCTCACATGAGGATACAATTAGTCCTCTGCATGCATATTTATAGGGATGACCTGTACTGTACCTGAACAGCTTGGACCTATAGCTTTAGAAGTTTTAATTACTCCAGGGGCAACAAGACATTCGCTGACCTGGTATGCAGAATCAAGTCCAGGTACCCTTGATTGTCAAAACGAGGTACCCGTGATTGGTCATTTACCAGTCACCTGCAACTCCACACAGAATGCAGTGCCTTGATAATCAGATTGACAAATAGGTAACCACTAGTATGGCCCTAGTTCTCAGTTGTGCCAAAACAGAGCTAGAACCTTTGCAGGGGCAGACTGACCCATTTGGGCTCTTGGGCACTGCCCAAGGGCCCGGGGTCAGTAGGGGGCCCCATGAGGTGCCCTTGAGACCATTCATAGGCTTTTTTGGGTGTGGTTTGAGTGTGGGTGAGGACACAGGGGCCCCATGAGATGCTCCTGGTACCTTTCATAGGCTTTTTTGGGTATGGTTTAAGTGTGGGCGAGGACACGGTCCCCATGATCTCCTATTGCCCGGGGGGCCCCATGAGTTGTCAGTCCGCCCCTGAACCTTTGTAAACACTCTGGGAGCTGCGGACAACCTAAAGGTTATCGCCACACACTGGAAGGCTGATCATTTATTACAAAGTGTAGAATGTGTTGATGCAGAGGGAGGATGAGGACTTGGACATAGGTGCCACAGATGTCCACCAAGGCCATGAACTTTCTCTGTTCTAGGCAAGGAACAGATGCCATCCGAAACTTCGGAAGACAAGCAAAGGCATTGAACACCAGAAAGGGATGGACTGATTCACCTTCAATATTGTGAACAGTTTGAGTAAAAACCTCAGTAAATTTCCCATGAGGGCATTGGAAACACAACTCCCTGGGCAACAAGCCAAGGTACCACCTTGATTAGAGAAGTGGCCCCAATGTACCACCTTGATTAGAGAAGTGGCCCCAATGTACCACCTTGATTGGAGCAGTAGCCCCAATGTACCACCTTGATTAGAGAAGTGGCCCCAATGTACCACCTTGATTAGAGCAGTAGCCCCAATGTACCACCTTGATTAGAGAAGTAGCCCCAAAGTACCACCTTCATTAGAGAAGTGGCCCCAATGTACCACCTTGATTAGAGCAGTAGCCCCAATGTACCACCTTGATTAGAGAAGTAGCCCCAAAGTACCACCTTCATTAGAGAAGTAGCCCCGATGTACCACCTTGATTAGAGAAGTGGCCCCCATGTACCACCTTGATTAGATGTGGCCCCGATGTACCACCTTGATTAGAAGTGGCCCCCATGTACCACCTTGATTAGAGAAGTAGCCCCGATGTACCACCTTGATTAGAGAAGTGGCCCCGATGTACCACCTTGATTAGAGAAGTGGCCCCGATGTACCACCTTGATTAGAGAAGTGGCCCCGATGTACCACCTTGATTAGAGCAGTAGGCCCAATGTACCACGTTGATTAGAGAAGTGGCCCCGATGTACCACCTTGATTAGAGAAGTAACCCCGATGTACCACCTTGATTAGAGAAGTGGCCCCAATGTACCACCTTGATTAGAGAAGTGGCCCCAATGTAGCACCTTGATTAGAGAAGTGGCCCCAATGTACCACCTTGATTAGAGAAGTGGCCCCAATGTACCACCTTGATTAGAGAAGTGGCCCCCATGTACCACCTTGATTAGAGAAGTGGTCCCCATGTACCACCTTGATTAGAGAAGTGGTCCCGATGTACCACCTTGATTAGAGAAGTAGCCCCAAAGTACCACCTTCATTAGAGAAGTGGCCCCAATGTACCACCTTGATTAGAGAAGTGGCCCCGATGTACCACCTTGATTAGAGAAGTAGCCCCAAAGTACCACCTTCATTAGAGAAGTAGCCCCGATGTACCACCTTGATTAGAGAAGTGGCCCTGATGTACCACCTTGATTAGATGTGGCCCCGATGTACCACCTTGATTAGAAGTGGCCCCCATGTACCACCTTGATTAGAGAAGTAGCCCCGATGTACCACCTTGATTAGAGAAGTGGCCCCGATGTACCACCTTGATTAGAGAAGTGGCCCCGATGTACCACCTTGATTAGAGAAGTGGCCCCGATGTACCACCTTGATTAGAGCAGTAGGCCCAATGTACCACCTTGATTAGAGAAGTGGCCCCAATGTACCACCTTGATTAGAGCAGTAGCCCCGATGTACCACGTTGATTAGAGAAGTGGCCCCGATGTACCACCTTGATTAGAGAAGTAACCCCGATGTACCACCTTGATTAGAGAAGTGGCCCCAATGTACCACCTTGATTAGAGAAGTGGCCCCAATGTAGCACCTTGATTAGAGAAGTGGCCCCA